TGTGTGTAACTGCCCCTAAGCGTTTTGATTCCTAGGCTGCATTTACCCCCTCTGAGACCATCTCACTCTTAGTGGTTCAACGATATGACATTATCTTGTGCTATATTGCTATTTTTTTCTTTCAGCACTGAGGTAGTTGGTTCAAGGACCTTAGGATTGTATCATGCTAGATTTTATTTCCTGTTGTTAATTAGGATGTGCATACCAGACATTTGCTTTTCTTTATGACATTATGTAGCTTAGGCTGCATTGCATGGGCTCTGCATGAAGCTTGCTCCACATACTAGATTTTCGAGCTTTATTGGTGGAGAGTTCCGCTGCTTTTGCGAATAGCGTGTTTGTGTCTCTTGCGATCCACTACAGGTCTGAGAATCATACAACAGACCTCTGTCTGCCCTGACGCACAACCAAAGTTATTTGGCTATTTGTCTGTTCGGCTTGTGGGATCAGGCCGTGACCTGACCCCACTGACCACGTGAGTATTCAGTCCAGTCCTGTCCGGTACCACCGGTCAAGTTCAGTCAGTCAACTTGGAGTATACCCCAGCTGCAGTCTATTTTTCAGTCATTCTTCATTTGCACAGTTTGGAGTCCCTGCGTGTTGAGCCTATGGAGTTGTGCTGTCTCTTCCAACTCCATAGCCACCTCCTTCATCCTTACCCCTCGTCTTGACACTGACGGGACCGCCATACCGGCGTGTCAGTCACATCATGGGAGGGGATGCAGGTTTGCCCATTAGAACCAGTAAAAACGCAAGAGCATAATGACTCAAATGATCTTTATCAAGCTGGTTATATGATTTAGCTTATCATAATGGATATCTGTCATTGCAAATGGCACTAGAAATTTCACCCTATATTTCATGTTCTCGCTTCGACGACCGAACCATAAATATAGAGAAAGATCAAGCTCAAACCCCTTTTCTTTTTTTTATTTTTTTAATTTTTTTATAAAAAAAAAGCGAGAGAGAAAAAGAAAAAAAAACAATACAGAAATAAAACATAATATCCCCTATATTCAACACCTTCACAAGAAACACCACAAACACCATCAATACCGTCACCACCAAAATAAAGCGCTTACGATAATTGTTTTTTATATTTAGTTAAACCAAACTCGATTTATAAGAAAAAAAATTCAACGCCCATTCAACAAACTTTTTCCATGCATCAGCCTGCCATTGCAATAAGCGATCGAGTTCCAACAACAGTTATTGACAACGATGCAGAAAATGATAATTGGATTCTTGAAAAATGACAACAATCGCTCAAAGCCATTGACGAAGAACGAAGTGACGACAAAGACTTAAGCCATGAAAAGTACAAAGTCTCTGCATCTTTTATTATACTGTTTCCAAAGATGGAAGATCAAAATTAAATCGTTAATCGCTACCAAGTGATTGATGAAGAACCGAGTGACGACGAAGACTTAAGGCATCAACACTACAAAGTCGTTGCATCTTGTATTATACTGTTCCCAAATAAGGAAGATCACGATCGACCAGTTACCACACTTTTCCTATGCATCAGCCTACCATCACTGCACCTGATCAAGTTCCAGCAACAGAGACAACAACACACTACAATGCGACAATAATTCGTAATTATATTTTATGATATATACCTCTTTCTTTACTGTTTCTGCTTCAATCACTCTTATCATGTAAATGTATGTTTGTCTAAAATCTCTCTCTCTCTCTCTTTTTTTTTTTTTTTTTT